ACCATATGACTTCATTTCACAGTCTTTTGCCTCATCAGAACCACCCTCTTCTGAAAATTTTTCTCACATTCTACAAAACTCAGCACTAGGGAAAATTTTTTTAAATGACACTGAAATAAAACTGAATAATAAGACTTGATTGGGTCCAAAGACTTAAGGGAAAGAAAATGTCCTTATTTTATAATTTCAAATTCAAGGTCTTACATGAAGGGTATTAGAGTGGGAAGGAAGATTCAAGATACTGCTGGTACAAAAGAGAAAACAAAGACTCAGAAAGAAAAGGATGAGACAGAAATGGGTTCTGTGGTTGTTATTCTTTTTATGAGCCCAGTTCTCCAGACTTCTTGTTAAATCTGTGTATTACCTTGGAGTATTTTTTTTTCTGTGTGAGCTATTTAAAATTCTGCTTTTTGTTTATATTAGCTGGAGTCAGTTTCTGTTGCCTGTAACTCAGTAGCCCTTACTGATTTGAAAATAAAGCCAAAAAAGCAATTAAGAGTCAGAAGAAAACAAGATATAAAGAGGACTAGAGCAGATGAGAAAGTGGTTGGATCCTATGACTGCTCAGTTTGGAGGATCTAGTCCTAGTCTGTGCATATCCTTAAAAATAAGCCCCATCCCACTTCCATAATTTTTAAAGATTACAATGGTCCCCGTTCCTTGTAACTGAGGTGGCAACTGATTTTTGTATTAACCAGGACTCTTTCAATTCCAAGTAACAGAAAGGTAACGAATCACTTGGAGCAAAAAGTCGAGGGACCGTGCTTCAGGCATGGCTAGATTACATCCTATCAGGAATCCAATTCTCCTTCGGTCCTGCTCTCCTTTCTGTTTGCCTCATTCTCCAGGGTTTCCATTCTTGACAGCAGAGATTGCCATTGGAAGCTTTCAGAGTATTTTCTACTAGTTTATCATTGTGGCTTAGTGGTAAAGAATCCGTCTGTCAAGCAAGAGACCTGGGTTCAACTCCTGGGTCGGGAAGATACCCTGGAGAAGGAAATGGCAACCCATTTCAGTATTCTTGCCTGGAGAATCCCATGGACAGAGAAGCCTAGCAGGCTACAATTCATGGGGTCACAAAGAGTCGAATACAACTGACTGACTACACAGCAACAACAAAATCATCTCAGAAGAAAACGTTTCTGTTTCCAATAGTTTCAACGAAAGTTCTGTGGTTGATGGTCATTGGAAAGCACAGAGTTGCTTTCAATCAATGAACTATGGTTAGAAAATTGTGATTGACTGGGCTTGGCCCTAAGGCCTGCCCTTGAACTAGGCTCAGCTCACACAAATCACATTGGAACAGAATGAGGGAAAACTTTACAAGATCAGTAGAGATTATGAGTTGCCTTCCATAAGTTTTCTTCAGGTTCTTCCTGGGTCATGAAACACTCATGTATTAGCCAGGAATATAACCATCCAGAATCAAGATTACATTTCAAAGGATCTAAAAAGCTAAAAAGCTGGACAACAATGTTCAAGTCCACTGAATACAAGTAGAAGTGATGAGATCACTTCCAGGAAATATCCTCAAAGGGACATGTCAGGATTATCTGTCCTTTCTTCTTTTCCTATGTCCAGAATGTGGACAGAATGGCTGGAGACGAATAAGTCATCTTTGAATACATAGTGATTTGGGGATGGAGGAAACTCATGGTGGAGCCTAGGTCCCCAACACTGTGGATACGAGTCAAACCTGAATCATCTTCTTTCTGTGATAGAAAAGTAAACTTATATCTTGTTTAGCTGAGTGCTATTTGACAAACCACACAACCCAACATAATCCTACCAGAATTCCCCAGAGGAAAATCTTGGCACTTCTGGAGAAAGATAGGGGTAGGGATGAAGCACGGGTATGTCCCCTGTCTCACTCCCTGAAAAATGTTTTTTCGGTCATGGTCATTACTCTGGTTGGAAGTCTAAAGAGGGCAATCTGTCTGGCTCTGTTGAATCTGAATATCCAGAAATTTCTGAGTTTATTAATTTAAAGACAAAATTAATCTGAAAGTTGAGTCAAGCACAGAATTATCAGAAATGGCTATTTCCATGTTTTTTTTCCACCCGGGGGGGGGAGGGCAGGGGGAAATACTTGTCAGAGTGGATTAAGCCACATTTAACCTTGTAACTTTAACAATGAAGTGTTGAAATAGCAGGTTTGCAATGTGCAAAATTGCTGAAAGTACATCTTAGAACTTCTTTCAGCATATTTGTTTTGACATTTTTATTAAGAATTTGAGTGAGGAATTAATTAAATTGTAATCAAACACAGAGACAACATGATGTCAATAGAACAGTTCATGCCTTGAATAATGGAATCAGAATTATACAACATCAGAACCCCAAGAAGTTTTCCCCATTTTACAGCTGAGAAAACTGAGGCTCAGAGCTGTCAACTCACTTGCCCAAGGTATACCTGGAATCAAGGGTAAAGCTGTTGGCTTACATTCTTTCTACTTTTTCTTTTTGAATAAATGAAAGCTATGTCATGATTCAAGATTCAAGTGGACATTTTTTAAAAAATGGAGGAGTGAGATGATGAGATCAGGATACTATTTAATCAGGTCAAATGTGTAAGGACCTAAGTCCAAAAAAGTCCAGTGTACAAGCACAGTATGGGGCAGATGTGCCTTAATCAGCAGCACTTGTAAGAAACACTTAGAGATGTTACTTGGCTGCAAGCTTGAGCTGTCAGCAGTGTGATGTGGCTACAAGAAAAAGATAATGGAGCCATGGGTGGCATTCCTAGAAACAGAGTTTACAAAAGGGAGGGGGTGTCCTGTTGAACTTTTCAGTCTGTTGAGCTTTTCAATCTACACCTGGAATTCAGTCCTGGGTGTCAGACTTCAGAAGTGATACAGACAAATTAGTTAAGATCTAGGATGGAATTTGTGGGGAATGGGTCAAAGGAAGTTAGGAAGCTGCAAAGCACTGTAACTAAGTGCTTGAATCTTGGAATCTGACTGCCTGGGTTTCATCCCAGCTCTGTCAATTACTGAATATGTGTTCATTAAGCCTTAATCTCACTGTCTGTAAGTTAGGAATTATAACAGTACCTATCTCTGAAGATAGATAAGGTAGTGCATGCCAAGTGATTTGTATGTTACCGGCACAAAAAAAGCACTCAGTAAATGTTAGGATTAAGGACCTGACATGTTGTGAGGATAATGGTAACAATCTCCTACCTTGTGGTGAATATTAAATGAGCTAACACATGCTCAGTGCCTGAAGAAAACTTGGTAACAGTGGAGGGATTGGCCTAAGGTTTTTAGGGATGGGACTGGCTTGGGGTCAAAATATTCCCTGGCTTGGGCTAAGGTCCACAGAGCTTGACTAGATTATTTTCTGAAGAATGAACCTTGAAAAAAGTTCAGAGGGGTGCAGTGGGGATGATGGCCATCACTCATGCATTTCATGGGGTACTCACTTGGTGAACACCTGGACAGGATGACATGCACTGTTGTGGAGTGACAGCCTAGCTTCATTCTTGGGTATGGTCATTGAGGACTGTCTGTCTGATGAACAGTTCTGTTCCAACTAGTGTGGGCATTCAGGGCAGTAATGGGGTTGGTCACTCAGGCCTGTTCTGGGCACAGTCCATGAGAACTGTCCTGTGGGCAGTCACGTAGGACTCACTGGAAGAGGAACCGCTCCTGGATAAAGTCCTCCTTGGCCCACTGGGGGATGTTCTGGATCTCAGGGATGCTCTGGAACCCTGGTCAGTTTCCCGGGGAGCGGCCCGCCGCTAGGGGGCGGCTGCTGCGATGCCCGCCGCCAGCGCGGAGTCTGCTTCTTTGGGACTCGCTCTCCAGTCAGGCCCAGAGAGAGGTGGAGTGACAGTGGGTGGGGGCGCACGCTTCATGGGTGTGAGACAGAGCGAGCCGCCTGGTGTGAGTCAGCGCGCGGGGGGCTAAGGAGCTCCCCGAATAGTCACGGAATCTCACTCACGCTCGGCTCCTCCACCATCCCGTCTAGAGCGTGTGTCCAGTCCCGCGCCTGCGTGCGCACACGATACGATGTCCGATTCGGGGTTCTGGGTGTCCGTTGGGGGAAAAGGGGGTGGGCTGAAGAAGGAGTGTCCCTGTGGGTGTTTCTCTGCCCAGGTTAGATTTCTCCCGCCCTGCCCCATGAAGGGTGTAGGGGGGTGTGTCCCGCTCAGGTACGTATGTACCTGTGTTCGTGCGTGCATGCGTGTGTCAGTGTGGTGGGACCTTTTATCAGCTCGGGGTGCCTCCGTGTGCGCCAGGGTCTCTGTTTGGGCATGGATGTTGGCGCAATCTCGACCTGGGCTCCCACCCCCGGGTGTCGGGAAGCCCGCGTGGCCGGGGTGTCCAGCCTCCCGGAGGAGCAAAAAAGCCTCAACACCCTCACCACCCCAGCTGGCCTGGGCTCCTTAGGGAGCAGCCTGCGTGGGGAAGCCCCGGGGTGGTGTGTCCCTGGAAGGGGTAAAGAGTAGGGGCGCAGGGGGCGGGCCGGGTCCCCGGGCGGGGCGCGGGCTCGGGGGACCCGCGCGGCTGACGTCAGGCGACTCCTTAAATAGAGCCGGCAGCGCGCTCGGCTCGGCATTTCTCGAGGAGCCAGAACGCGGCCGGCGCCAGCGCCACCGTCCGGCCCGCGCGCCGGCCCGCACCGCCGCCGAGCGTTCGGGGCGCCGAGCCGGGAGGATCCGGGATGGGGCTTCCGGCGCTGGGCGCGCTCCGAGCCCGGCGCACGTGAGAGCCAAGGAGCGCCGGGAGCCGCCCAGCTGCCCGGAGTCCCGTCGCCCAGGACGCGGGGATGTCGGAGGCGCCGCCGCCGGTTCCCCGAGGAGCCACCGCCCCCGGGATCCCGGGGCACGGTGCGCGCCCGGGCCGGCAGCGCCTGGAGAAGACGGCGCCCCCTACGCCCGACCCGCGTGGCCCGGGCCGCGCCGCGCGAGCCCTCTAGGCGGCCGCAGGGCCCCAGCCGCTCCGCCGCCGGCGCCCCCTCGGAAACCATGACCCCCGGTGCGGGCCCATGGAGCCATGGCCTATAGGGTCCTGGGCCGCGCGGGGCCACCTCAGCCGCGGAGGGCGCGCAGGCTGCTCTTCGCTTTCACGCTGTCGCTCTCCTGCACTTACCTGTGTTACAGCCTCCTGTGTTGCTGCGACGACCTCGGCCAGAGCCGCCTCCTCGGCGCGCCTCGCTGCCTCCGCGGCCCCGGCGCGGGCGGCCAGAAACTTCTCCAGGAGTCCCGCCCCTGCGATCCCTCGGGCCCGACGCCCGGCGAGCCCGGCGCTCCCAGCGCGCCCGCCGCCGGCGCGCCCTCCCCTCGCCTCTCTGGGTCCAACCACTCCGGCTCTCCGAAGCTGGGTACCAAGCGGCTGCCCCAAGCCCTGATCGTGGGCGTGAAGAAGGGGGGCACCCGCGCCGTGCTGGAGTTTATCCGCGTGCACCCGGACGTGCGGGCCTTGGGCACCGAGCCCCACTTCTTCGACAGGAACTACGGCCGCGGGCTGGACTGGTACAGGTAAGGAGCGGAGCCCCACAGCGCGCGCCCGGGCTCCATCCGGCCCCGTCCTCAGGGCCACCTCCTGCGCCCTCGCATCCGCTGAACTCGGCTGGCTATGTGGGTTCCGACTGACACGTGGGGGAACTCTAACAGAAGGATTTACCCGGAACTCCCCAGTGATGGTGTAGACCGGCTCCGGCTTCCTGAACCGCAAAGGGCAATTGACTCTGGAATCGCCAGAAGGGAAGGGAGATCGCTGGCCTGACCTCCGGGCCAGTTTGGAGGGCTGGCTCGGTGTCTAGACGCTGGGGGTAAAGCTGGGTGCCAGGGGAAGGGGCAGCCAGGACAGGAGCTGCCTGAACTCAGCCCTCTCCTGAGCCTGGCCGCATCTTTCCAGGCATCTGACCCACCCAGGGAAGGGACAGTCCGAACAGCGCCCCCTCGCGGCAGGGCCCTGTGCTGGGGTGAGGTCCCCAAGTTCGGGCCGAATGACAGGGAGGCCCCTGAGGTGTCTGCGGGAGAAAGGTCCCTTCTGGAGCCTCGTTCTCAGCTCCAGGTATTTGCTGCCGGATCTGGTCTGAGACTCTCAGGCGCTCTGACCCTGAATTCATGTTTTCAAATAGTGCACACGACCCTGGATGTGAGTCTTGGCTCTGCCACTTAGCTTGAGCAAATTCCTAAAAACTCACTGAGCCTTGATTTTCTGGTCCATCGCAACTAGCAGGAAAGGTCCCTGACCTTTCGGCCTCGCAAGGGCTTTCTAAGTACTTGAAAGGTGTAACAGGGACACTTTGCACTGGGCGGTGTTTCTAAGCCAGCAGCCAGAATATAGAATTTGGAATACCGGTGGGCTCCTCAGATGGAAGCTGTCTAGGTTCACAGCGGGCAGCCAGTCATAGCAGACTGTCCACTCCCTCACTGCACTGTCAGGGATGACAGTCACCCAGGCTGGTGATATCTGGGGATAGCCTGAAGCTTCTGGAAGGTAGCAACCTCCACTCTTAAATGGCTGTCTACTTCCCAAGCCCTGTATGGTGTTGAGGTGTAGGGCTGGCCCACGTGTGAGCTGAGCAGGGCGTCCCTGGGGGTGGTGTAATGTATGGGCTCCCCATAACACCTGGGTTACAGAATTCTCACCATTCACCTGACCCCTTGAAGACTTGCTAGAAATGTCTGCCTAGTAATGGAACTGGGTGGGGGGTGGGTAACATGGTAGCTGACACAGTAGCTGAGGCTGTTCTTTAAGGTAATTTTGTTAAAGTTAAACCCTTTAGGAGGTAGAAAGTCATAACCATATTGGATAAAGGACAGCTTCATTAGAAGGAGGACCCCAGTGGTCTCACTTATGGAACCCTGGATTTGTAAGAATCAGGGCAACAGGGCCAGCTTGTCCCCTTTGCCTGGGAGCCCTGGTCATGGTTTAAGGGGCCGGGGATGGGACATGCCCAGTCCTCAGGAGGCAGACATATAGCCCATCTCCAGTGGCACGCAGCAGGGGGTGGCTGGCCTGTGGGTGGCCCCAGCCCTGTTATGTTGGCTCATTGGAATAGAGAGAGTGGCACAGAATGGCATGTCGGGCTTTCCAAGCTATGACCCCGCCGCCCCCCCCACCCCAGGCATCCCACCTGGAGGTATGAAGTCCATGAGGACAGCGTCAGAGCCAGACTCCAGAGTCAGAGAGGCAATGCATCAAACAGCAGAGCGTGACGTGGGTCAGCCATGGCCGCACGCTCTTGCTCGGCAGGGTTTCCTCGATGGAAAATCTAAGGATCATTATGAAACCCTTTGCCAAAGTGAAGTGCCTCTTAAGTGCACAGTTCTGAGCCCTGGCTTTTGTTGAGCCCTCCAGTAAACACCTATTCCCTGCACCCAGCCTGTGCACTCCCGCTCTTGTGCTCCCCCACCAAACACCATACCTTCCTTCTCCAAGCCCGTGTCATTCAGGGATGGTTGCTTTTTATTTTTAACCTTGGCATGTGTGATTCTAAGCCAGCTTAGCTGTGAACCTTAGAGATGGGAGCCGTGCCTTTTTTTTTTTTTTTTTATATAGCACATTTGGATTCTGCTAAAATTCTCAGCTGAGTCTTGGTAGGTTTTATTTAACATCAAGCATGCTGACAGCCCCACTTCTCTCGGCTCCCCCCACTTCCCAGGGTCTGTCTTACCATCCTTTTCCCCCTTTATATTTCTAAAAGAGCATTTAGCCCGCCTGTCTGGTACTAACTGCCTCATCCCCGTCACCTCCCCAGGAAGGCTGGGAGCCTACAGCTTCAGGAGGGGCCGTGTGATTTGTGCTTCTTGGGGCGGCAAATCCATACCTCCAGAGTCCAGGGTTTCGGGTATGGATTGTCATTTCTGTATATAAAGTCATACTGCCCCATTTGGATGCTATTTCTGTAATTTCCAGAAATTTTTTCTGTATGTGTCTTATTCTTTATTATCACTCAAGTAATATGCATTAATTGCGGAAATGATGGAAATACTTGGTTTCTTTTAAAACTCACGTTCTCACTTTATTCCTGAAGTCCATGAGTTAGGATGGCAGGTGATAAGATGCTTCTCTCTCTGCCCATTGCCTTTATCATTTCACGGATGGGAAAACTGCAACCCGAAAAGAGAGCATCATAGAATGGGATCCAAAGCAAGCGGATGAAATTTGGGACCAAAAGTCATTGGCATGCACTGTCTCACAAAGATTTATACATGTACACTGTGTGTGTATGTGCACTTCCAGCCAAGTACTCTAACCACTGTTCTGCACAGCTTGTCACCATAAAGCCAGCATCCCCTGGGTAGACATGGCCAAAGATCCCTTGTGCCTGTTTGTGGGGGACCGTGTTTTCCAAAGGTGGAGTCGCAGAGTGGCAGGCAGTGGATCTCCTCAAAGCCCCTGGGGATAATTTCTGGGGTCTGGAGGCCCCAATCAGACAGACAATGGAAAAATCAAAGGAAAGACTTCTCTCTGTGGCTAAGTGGAGATAAACCAGGAGCTGACAAACAGTGCCTGAAGACAGAATGATACAGCCAGAGAGACACCATCGGCCAGAGACCAGGAGACATAATCTGCGTCTTCCTGACCCCCAGCCTGAACCCCCTCTTGGAACTAGCTGGGTTCCAGCCACCCTAGGAGAGGCCAGACTTCTGTGGTGGGATCCCTCCCCTGAGATATTTTCTGAGATCCCATCCCTGAAGCATCCCTCCTCTCTGCACCTGGCCGGCTTCCCCCTCCCAATTTGCTCCTCCAGGTAGCGGCTGGGTGTGCTGTGTGGGCTCGACCAGCTTCTTGGACAGGGAGGCAGCGTGAGGCCACAGTGACAACGGACCCAGGATAGGACCTGCTGTCAGAAGGCGGGAGATGGTCCCCTAAGCTGGGTCATTGGAAGCAGAGTCATCTTCCTGAATCTTGGCTTCCTCGTCATAGGATGATGCCTATTGTAACTATTATCATAGAAGGTGGTTTTAAAGAATGAATGAAACGTATATGAAAGTGTCCTGGGAAATTCCCTGGTATATAAAGATAAGGCAGTAATGTGATCACTATCACCACTATTACTATGACTGTTTCATTACCAACACTCCTTTTACCACCATCAGTACTGAGTATTAAAACTATCAGCTTCTTTCCCTACTGTTATTACTACCTGGGACTGAGGAATTAATTGCTGGAGAAGTAGTTCCGTGAAAGACTAGGAAGGGTCCTGGCCCTAGGTTTGACTTTCAGCTCTGCTTTGCCTTTTTCTCCTCCCTCTCTTCTTTCTCTCCTTCCTTCTGCATTGGTAAAAAGTCACTCCTTATTTCAGGGTGTCAGTTTGCTCACCTTTAAAAAGAGAGTGATGTCTGACAATGTATGTGAAAATGCGTCTCTCAATCTAAGATTCTATTTGGGAATGCATCAGAAGTTGAGTGTGAGACACAATATTCAAAGCCTTCATCTTTCATAAAGAGACATCAGCTGTGCATTGTCCAGTAGTTTTTTCGGTCTTAGGGGAAGCTGAGTTTTGTGTAGAGTGTTCATTTTGCTGGTTTTCAGTGATAGGGGTGGGGGAAGGAAGTGAGTCTTCTCTAAATGCATTGAAATGCCAACAAGAGCAAGTTAATATGTGATAATTGACTCTGTGCTCTGGTGTCAAAATTGTGATAGATGAGCCTGTTCTGTAAATTTTAGACTCCACAAGTCTGGTTATTTATTTGTTCAACAGCAGTGGTGTTCTGGGGACGGTGTGAGGAAAAGAAGACAAGGCATTTGCCCTGGAGGCAACAGTTTAAGTGAGACAGAGAATTAAAAGCCCAGAGTAAGGTCTATCACCTTATCTAGCTGATTTTAATCAAGGAATCAAATTTCAGTAGCAAAGCCAAACTCTAGAAAGGCAAACTTTAAGAAGAAATAAAACCAAAGGCAGAAGGCAGGGTAAGTAGTGAACGCGGGAGGCTTTACCACCTTAAAGAGACTGATGGACAACTGGGCACAGATGACCTGTGTTTTTCCAGTGTGTGCAGATGTGTGTGTATGCACAGTTCTCACGTGGGCACCCACACCGCACAACTCCAGTGTCTGTGCAGACACGTCTTCATAAGGAGTTTTCCTGGCTGGGTCCAGGAGGATGTCACACACGCTGATTAAATGAACCCACTGAGTTCATAAATCCTTCGTCCGCCTTGTAGCTTTCTGTCAGCCTCGCTGCAGCCGGAGATATAGTAGTTAGTTCCAGCACATGTACAGTTCTTGTCAGGCACCGAGGAACATCCAGGTTGAGCAAACAGAACTGTCATCGCTCAAGGAGGCTTTTTGAAGAGCTGACTTTGCATCCCCCTGGAGCTTGGAGGGACAGTGGAAGACCTTGGAATGAAGACTGGGCTTTCCCCATGGCCTTTGGTATGTGGCTAAAGGGGGAAGACCCCAATAGGTCCTAGTGCTATTCAACTACCACACTTTGTTAAGCCTATTTTGGATATTAAAATACTACGTAGAGCCTAAGAAACACATTTTCTTTTTCACCTTTTCACGCCTCTGAAATTAGGATGTGTCTAATGATTGATGGGGTCTAGGTTCCAGGAGATATGGTGCTTCCACATTGGATGGAAACTCACTCTCCCAGAGGTGCCCTCTGCTCTGGTATCCATTGGACTTTACAAAGGACCAGCAACTAGGTGACAAATGCCTGACCCAGCAGGGAGCGCCTGAGACCCTGCTTGTCTTTGCAGCCAGCAGGGTGCCTTCTGATTGGTGAAGTAGCTCTACCCACTTGATTTTTTTATTTTTAAAATATTTCTTTATTTGGCTGTGCTGGGTCTTAGTTGGGGCGTGCTCGATCATTGATCTTTTTCGCAGCATGCGAACTCTTAATTGTGGCATGTGGTATCTAGTTACCTGACCAGGAATTGAACCCATGCCCTTTGCAGTGAAAACATGGAGTCCTAACCACTGGACCACCAGGGAATGCCTGAGCTGTGCTCATTTTTGATTTTTGATTGCTACCTATGCTCTCTTCTGCCTATCCTGAAATGAGGAAAAGTGCAAGTTGATGGCCACCAGGAGACAACAAGATGCTTTGGCAGGCATGTTCTTCACTGGCTGCTGTTCTGCCCAGATATTTGGAGTCACTTCCCAAGAGTCCCTAAAGAGTCAGGACAGGGTTGGTGCTCAACAGGTGTGCTTGCCTATGTTCCATTGCATCTGGTGTGGAGGACAGTAGAATAATTTTCTTCTCATCGGTTAGACCTCCACTGCCTTGCTCTTGAATGATTGGGTGACCGAGCGGGTGGGGCGGGGCCGGAAGCACACAGCTCCCCATTGATCAGAATCCTCTGCGGGCTTGGAGTGGGGGCTGTCTCTATGAGTGGGGGCTCAGCAGTGGGGCTGGGAAGTTGGGGAGGTAGATAGTCTTGCTGGCAGTGAGTCAGGGTGGAGGGATCTGCAGGGTCATGCAGTTTACCTAAACCTGTGAGACTCTCTGCCCTGTGAGCTAACCCCAGGGCGGGTTAATCCATTTATTTGTCAGATGCCTACCATTCGCCGGAATCAGTGCCACGCTGCTGTAGGCCGGCTCTGCTGCTACTTTATTCTCTTAATGGGCTGCACTGATGGGCTGGGGTGCGTTGTAGTCCATGGGCAGCTTGATGAGGTGCCACCAGTGATGGAAATAACTTAGCATTTCAGAGGTGCCACCAGTGATGGAAATAACTTAGCATTTCAGAGGTAATTGCTGCCTGTCAAGCTACACAGCTGGGCTGCTGGTCCAGTGCTATACTCACCCATCTTCCTCAGAGGATAATGGTGCAGAGATGGGGGCAAGGGATTACTGTTGAGTGTGTGCTTCCAAGGATCGTGGGCTAGATAGCCTGGTTGGGTTACCTGAGGCTTGAGGATCACAGGATCTCCTGGACACAAGTCCACTGGGACTGGGACTTCCCAAGCTTTGAAATCAATGGCACCAATCATGGTTCCTTTTCAGGGTCTGTGGTCACTAGCTCCCACAAGTGAAAAAAAACCGAAGTGTCCACTCTGGGCAAAGGCCCGAGGACCTCTCATTGACATCCTTGGAGGGGCAGCATCAAGTCCATGCCCTCTTAGGGTAGCATTTTCCAGGCTTCAGACATTTTGTACTGCCTCATGGTTGCCCAAACCTGGCGTGACCTCTATTATTTTCTTCATACTTTAAAGTTAGCACTTTAAAAATTTTGGATTTTTCATAAAGAACTGGGTTTATTTTCCACCAGCGTGTACATTGTAGAATAGATAATATCTTCCCATAATACAGACTTCAAAAGTGACAGAGGATTTTCCCTGAAAACCATTCTCCTCCTTCGTACCCCATCTCCCCTTCCACGCAGTTCCTCATCCCAGAAACAGTCACGAGATCGGTTTTTGTGTATCCTTCAAGAGAGGTGCTTGCATTTGTAAACCTAACATCCATTATGCAAATGTAATTGAAACACATCTTTTTAAAACACAACTTTATTTGAAAACCACCTTAAACGGAAAGCCAGCATCACTTGCCATAGTTAGGAAGTAATTATGAAAATAAATAGATTGAAAACATAACAATGCTATTGAATTTTTTTTCATATTTTAAAAAATTTATTTATTTTTAATTGAATTTTTGCTAGTGAAAGTGGCTAAAATGTTCCAAGCCTGCAGCATGCTTTATCTTTGTTCAAAAGTGAATGGGGATACTAAAAAGAGCAGTTAAAGAAATGCTAATATCAATGTGAAACATTTCTCCTTGATGTAATCAGAATGAATGAAAGTGAAGTGGACAAGATCATAAGTTTTCTCACTATGCGATTAAGTGACAGTCAGTCTATGTAGTATCTATAATTACTGAGATGGGGTATGCCCCAACATCATAGGAAACACTGCCAGAGTTTGCAGAAAATCCAGTGTAAGTAAATCCAGAGATGTTTCTAGCTTTCAGATTCCTTTGATGTGTTAATGATTGAAAGAGACAAGCCAAAGGAAAACTCAGAACAAATATGAGCGTTCAGAAAAGTATTGTGGCTTGCAGTATTTACAAAGTAGTCTAGCCTTCAGAAGAACAGGATTCCCTGAATAAAGGGTGTAGCATGTATTAAAAAGGAAAAAACAGTATCCCACCAGTTTACTATTGGTTTCATCACTGCCCTCGCTGGTGGAAAATCAGTGGTCTCCCCCGTGAATACCATATCTTCATGGTGATTACATACCTGCAGGCATCAGTGTTGCAAAAGTCAAAGATAAAGTTGTTTCCACTAGGGACTTGGCAATGTGTGTGAAAGGGGTTCAGAGCTTTTTTTTGTTTCTTCAATTTAGAGGCTCATGTGGAACAGGATGTCTGTTTGAAATCTCAGGATGCAAAGTTCCTTTTCTCTCCCCCTGTGACGCTTGATGTGAGACTTAAAAATAATGGTCGGGCAGGGTGTCACTCTTCCTTTCTCAGATAGTTTGATCTCACTGAATAAAGAGGGGAAGATGATGGCGTGTCTTTCTGCATACTTTTTTAGCTGCATAAAAGGAGCTCCACTGGGGACAATTGTCCCTAGGACTTGCCATATGTTTTCAACAGAGGCCATTTAGATGGTGTCTGTGATAGCAGGGCTTCCCAAGCTTCCCTTCAGATGGGCAGATAGTCATCAACTCTGACAAAGAGAGGGCTTCCTGCTCACTCAGGGCTTCCAGGTCCTGGCGCTCACTGCCCGGTGAAGGAATTCCAGATCCATCTTAAAGCTGGTGGACAAATGAGCTGGCATTGAAGCGGTGCCTCGTGGCACTCAGAAAAGAGGGAGGGAGGGCAGCTCTGAGTACATGGATGAGAAGAACTTAAAATGGAAATCAGAAGACATTTTCATCACAGTGATTAAAAACTCGAGCTCTTGAATCAGAATGACTGAATTGGAATCTCGGTTCTACCATTGAGTGGGGGTCCTCTGGGCCTCAGGTCTATCTCCATGTAGGAACCAATCCTCTCGTCTACACATAGGGTTACAGTGAGGTCTGAATGAGTGATATCATGTAAAAACGTGCTCAGAAATTTTCTGGCATGTGGAAGGGGTCCAAGTGTTGGCTCTCATTATTGGTTATTGGTTTTCTCATCATTCCTTCATTGAGCTGAGTGCTAAGGACCCAGAGGTGGACAAGACTGGGCTCCTCCCAGTTTGATGGATTATGAAATGTTCATGGAAAATTTTTACACAAGTCAGCTGATGATAGGAGCCATAAGAGAGATGCAAGCAGAGCTATTATAGCACGGGAAGGAGATAAGATCCAATTGGGGGAATTTTGGAAGGATTTCTGAAGGACGTAGTATGTTATTTGGGTCTCAATGGGCAGATGGGATTTTTGCAGGGGGCAGGTAAAGGGGCTGGCCCTATAGAGATGCTGTTTCTAAATACATTCATCCCACAATTTCACCTCTGATTACAGTCAAATAAAAAAATAAAGTTTTTTTTCAAATTATTTTAGTTCTATGTGCATTTACTGACTGCCTACTATATACCAGGCTTCCCAGGTGGCACTTGTGTTAAAGAATCCACCTGCCAATGCAGGAGATGAATGAGATGCAGGTTCGATATCTGGGTCCAGAAGATGTCCTGAAGACGGAAATGGCAACCCACTCCAGTATTCGTGCCCAGATGGAGGGGCCTGGCTGGCTGCAGTCCATGGGGTCACAAAGAGTCGGACATGACTGAGCCACACACACACACACACACACACACACACACACACACACCAGGCACTGTGATAAATCCTAGAAAAAAGGAAGAAAGAACTGTCCTTTAAAGAGTTCAAGGGGCAGACAAATCCAATAGCAAGATGTGCTGGGAGAGAAAAGGTTCTTGGCGTGTGGTATCACTCAGGGTGGGTCAGAGACTTTCTGGGGAGCTGAGGCCTAAGCTTTAGGACATTTGCATTGGCTTTCCTCCACCTGAATCACTCTCCCTCCAGAGCATCCTAGATCTGGCTGCTTCTCATTGTGTAGGTTCCAGCTCAAATGTCACTTATAAGACAGTAACGCCTTCCTTTGTTACCCAGCCTTAGCTGACTTACCTTCCCCATCACCCTTTATCTCTTTTCCCCACTTTGTTTTATTTACCTCTTACTTTGTATTGCAATCTGAAATTATCTTGTTCCTTTTCCTTCTTACTAGCTATCTCCCCCACCAGACCCAAAACTCTAGGACAGCAGGAATCTTGTCTGTCTTGTGCACGGCTATGTCTCCAGAGTGCCTGGCACACAGTAGGTGCTCAATAAATAGTTGTTGATGACTATGCCTAGGAATGGATGAGCCTGTTCCAAGGCCACAGACTGGTCCCAGCCCTTCATTAGGCTTTTCACATGTGGGTCCAAATGTTCCCCCTCTCACTTTGAGAGCTGAATGAACTGGTATTCTCAGAGACTCAAAGATTTGACCCCAGCTGCCTGGCCAAGGAGCAGCAGAACTGGGACTTTTGTTTGTTTCAAATAAAACTGAGACATTATACAGATACATGAAGGGCTTCCCAGGTGGCGCAGTGGTAAAGAACCCACCTGCCAATGCAAGAACCGTAAGAGACGTGGGTTCGATCCCTGGGTCGGAAAAGTCCGCTGGAGGAGAAAATGGCAACCCACTCCAGTATTCTTGCCTGGAGAATCCCATGGACAGAGGAGCCTGGCGGGCTACAGTCTGAAAGGCCACAGAGAGTCAGACGTGACTGAAGTGACTTAGCACACAAACACACATAGATATATAAAACACAATTTTTCAATCCTGCATTCTTTGCCTAACATTCATTAAGACCACTCATTAAGATCTAACATCATTAAGATGTTCCCACACCATTCAGTTCAGTTCAGTTCAGTTCAGTCACTCAGTCGTGTACGACTCTTTGCGACCCCATGAATCGCAGCATGCCAGGCTTCCCTGTCCATCACAAACTCCTGGAGTTTATTCAAACTCATGCCCATCGAGTCGGTGATGCCATCCAGCCATCTCCTCCTCTGTCGTTAAATGTTTCCAAACCTTGATTTCAGCATCTGGGTCTCATTCTGTCATGTGGTCCCATGGAGGGTTCACACATTCGCCTCTTGTTGGATTTTTAGTTGCTGATCCCCAATTTTTTCCCCTATTTTTTAATAAGTAATTCTCCATGGCCTAGGTCTCAAATTCTTTCTTTAGCACAGAGTCCTAGAAGTGAAATTACTAGGTCCAAGTGAAGAACTTTTTTAAAGGCTGGAGATATGTACTGCCAAAATGCTCTCCAAAACATTGCAAGAATTTTGGCTTCTGCTCCGAGCAAATGGGGAGATATATTGGAGGGTTTGGAGTGAAGGAGTCTTATGATCTGACTTACGTTTTGAAAAGATCTCTTGGGCTGTTTAGCAGAGGCTTTTGCTGTGGTTAACGGTGGAGCTGTGTGATGTGGACAGGTGCTGGATACCTTCTGAAGGTGCAGCTGCAGGTTTTGCTGATGGATTCATGGAGGCTAGGCATGAGAGAGGAGTCAGGGAAGATGGTAGTGTCATGATGGTGGTGATGATGACACCTCTCAAGAGTTTGCTGTCTTTCAGACCCTTACAATTGACCGTAGGCTGAGGTCTGGACCTAACGTACTTCCCAGTACAGCTCCTGGCTTGATAAGTCAAATATCTACCTGTAGGTGACCTTCAACTAAGCAAAGAAAGTAATGCCACATTCTACTGTAGCTTGGAGGCTGCAGGGTCACCCTCAAATTGGTGAGAAATGGCAGTCCCTCTTTCTAGAGGTCTTGGAAGCCCTATTTATAAATGCAGTGTTCTTAGGTAACCTCTTGAGATTTTTGAAGATTGAACTAGCTTTGCTCCAACCCAGAAAAGGCACGTGCCGCTTAGTGTGGGTATCACCCAGCTTCTCATTCTTGTTCCAGCCTCATCAACATGCCTGGCAAGGGAGCTGCCTTGATGGCGTCGCTTGATTTAGGGGGCTTCTGTGTGGTTTCTTTCAAACAGAACAGAACACCGTGATGCCTTCTTGCAAGATAATCGGGATCTGTATCTCCCCAACTTCCCCAAAGCTGCTGGAGCATGGGGAAATGTTCTCTGTCTTGGCAACCTCTATGCAGTGTGTTTCTGCTTTGATGGTTTTAATGAAGATATGAAATCATCTAACAGCTTTCATTTGCCTCAAGTGAGATGGCTTAAAGTGGAGGTAGCATTTCCCAGGATCAATCCCCATTTTTAGAAGTGGTTGGTTAAACTCTTTGCAGTTTATGGCCACTTCTGCTTGAAACAGTGTGGGATCTGAATTATTAATTCTGTGAAAAATGAGTTAAGTCATTGCAAAGCTCTGTGGTGGCAAAATTCCCACTTTAAGGTCTCTTTAAGGCTATTTTCTCTAGCAAGAAGATTTCCATTAACCAGAAATTCTTGGTCATCTTGGCCAAATCTCTGTTTGGCAGTCATTTTTCCAGGAGGTAAAGGACTTGACTTAATTCAGTTGTTCTTTGCTACCAAGGGTAATGGGCTTCCCAGGTGGCTCAGTGGTAAAGAATCTGCCTCCCAGTGCAAGAGATCCAGGTTCTATCCATGGGCAGGGAAGATCTTCTGGAGTAGGAAATGGCAACCTACTCCAGTATTCTTGCCTGGGAAATCCCATGGACAGAGGAGCCTGACATGCTACAATCCATGGGATCACAAAGAGTCAGACACAGCTGAGCATGTGTGTGAAACAGTGGGGGGGACATTTGTCCAATTAATCCATCCCACAAGACTTTTTCCCATCCCTGTATTGCCAGATCTTCAAGGTTTATTCCTTTTTGGAAAAAAAAAAAAAAAAAACACAAAACTTGAAATATAGCATTTTTTTAAAATGTGAGGGACTTCTCTGTGGTCCAGTGGTTAAGAATCCACCTTGTGGTGTGGGGGACATGGGTTCAATCCCTGGCTGAAGCATTGGGATCCCACATGCTGAGGAGCAACTCAGCCCATGTGCTGCAACTACTGGAGCCTTCACGCCACCGCTAGAGAGTCTGTGCCCCAAACAAAAGATCCCACATGATGCGATGAAGATCTGATACAGGCAAATCAATAAATATTTTTTAAAAATCTCTCACCTATTATGAAAAGTGATATTTGTTTTTTTAAAATGTGAACTCTCAATTTATAATTGTGTCTTACTGATTCAGAACTTTCACTGAACCCTTGAGGAACAAACAGAACACATTTGTGGGCTGGATGCTACCCATAAGCTGTCCTCTCGCCATCCTGGCAGGGTGGGCCTTAGAGGCAGGCTCTACCACTTTGCAATCCTTCTTCTGCCACGGATGAGCTGTGGGGTTAGCTGCTACCTTCTTGAGCTTTGGTTTCTCCCCTAAAAGATGAGGATGTCAAGCATTCCTACCTGCTGTGTTGTTGCCACGATTCACTGTCACGTGTCATACTGTTGAGGGTCCCCCTTCCTGGACTGTGCTTGGAGGAGGTATGATCATCACTAAGCCGATGGGCATGACTGGAAGACAAAACACATCATGTGGACCTTTGTCAAGGTGAGGAAAGCTGGGGTCTTACCTGTTGGGCCAGTGGGGAGAAGAGTCTGGAGCCAGGATTACCCAAGGTTGGAGAAACCCATTTGGTTGTAGAACTAATCCCCAGGGAGGGAGCCAGCAACCCCCACTGCTTTTCTTTTCTTTAAATATTTTTTAAAGTTGCAAGTTAAGTATTTTTAAAATTTATTTATCTTGGTTGCTCGTCATTACTGCACACAGTCTTTCTCTAGTTGTGGCAAGCGGGGGCTATGCTCTCTAGATGTGGTGCAAGGGTTTCTCATTGTGGTAGCTTCTCTTGTTGCGGAGCATGGGCTTAGTTGCTCCAAAGCATGTGGGATCTTCCCAGACCAGGAATTGAACCATGACCCCTGCCTTGACAGTTGGTTTCCCATCTGCTGAACCACCAGGGAAGTCCCCCCACTGCTTCTTATTGTCATTCTTGTACATGCCCAGAGAGCCCCTGAGGATTTTGAGTCTTTGATGTTGTCCCTGCTCCATACTGTTTCTTCAGGGGATAGACATTTTCTGCAGCTGGGTCACTGTCCCCAGCTCACAGTGCCATACTCAGAACAGCTCAGACCTCTCTATTCCTCTGCACACTTCTTTTGGCTTTTAGTTACCTGGATAGGATGGAGATGCTGAGATTCATGTTTTAGAGATGAGCTAGCTTGCACAGGAGGTGAGTGCCTCTAAGATTGGGTGGTTTGGTGCAGGTAGAAGCCCAACCTGGAGAGTGTGGTCTTGGTTATGGGGAGAGGCTAATGGATGCGCAGCGGTGGACCATAAAGATCAGCCTAGAAGAACTGCTCCCCAGCCTTGATCAGTCACTGGCACCTGTAGAATAACAGGAGAACATTGGGATGCTGGTGCAGAGGAGGCTGGAAGGAGATGAGTATGATGGAGAAGAGAGTGTAGCCACCCTTCAGAAGGATGAATTGCATCATCTCTGACACAATTCCCTTTAAAGCCAAGCAGAGCTTTGATGTGGCGGGAACTCCATTGGAATTGGTTGCATGATCAGTATTGATAGCCTGTGCGTATGAACCATTGGTGGAATAGCTGTGTAATCAATCATCCAGGTTTGTCCTGCCTCTGGAGTGATCTGTCAACAAGCCTCTCCAATCATAGAGTCAGCAAATTTCTGTCTAAAACCTGACATGTCATTTCCCGATCTTCAGTCATGTAGGTGCCATATACAAATACTTCTATATCCTTTACATGGTGTTAAAGTCCACTCATAATTTTTGCTTTAACCATTTACCTAAATATGAAACTTTATATCTCTATCTTAAATGAGAATCATCACTTGGCAGAACTAGAAAGTGGTCATAAAAACCAGTGCAATAAAAGCCAAACAATGCAAATAGATTCCAGCCGGATTCTGTCGCCTGTGCCACGTTCTGCCTGTGGCAGCCTCTTTTTTTTTTTTCTGTTAAAGAGAGAGATCAAAACCTATTCGGGAGGTGTTAACAACATCCTAGCACCTAAGACTTTTTCCATGTTGTAATCAGAAGATTTGAACAGAATGAAAAAGGAAAGATGATTATTTGGTAATGAGGTGTTTAGGTGGCGTTTAAAGTCATGTCTGTGTGCCACCAAAATATTTTTGTAACCACTAGTGCTACACATCTCACACTTTGGGAAATGCTGCCCTGCCCACCTGGACCCCTCTTGCTTTGATGTCACTGTATTACTTTATCATGCTTGGTCGTCCTGGTCCATCAACAGCTTGGGAGGGGCTGGCTGACATTACAAAGTCTGGGTGGTTGAAAAAGCTGTGATTTCAATTTAAATTGCAAATTGATGGGGCATCATGGGAAAAGCAAATGCAGACGTGAAGAACTGAAGGAAAAGATCCAGCTATACAGTATTTTTAGATCTTTTTCTCTGGACCAATTTTGTATCATTTTCTTTTTTTTTTTTTTTCTGGACTCTGGGTTTAATAAGACCAATTACTTGAGGGGCTACCCAAAGTTTCTTTACAATTCCAATCTAAATCACCTATGTAAATCCTTTATTTGTTGTTCTTTTTTTTTTTTTTTAAAGCTGTGACTTGAATGAAGCCCAAAGGCATTATGCCAATTGAAAGAAAGGTTACATACTGTATGATTTCATTTATATGACTCTTTTAAACAGATGAAACTAAAATGCTGGAGAACAAATCAGCATTTGCCAGGGTTTAGGGCAGGGAGAGAGTGTCACTATATGAAGGGAAGAAAACGGAATTGCACAGGGCTGGGGAATGGAACCCTTTTGTGTCCTGACTGTGGTGGTTGTCACATGAATCCACACATGTGTTGAAATCCATAGAGCTTAACAGTGATAGAAGGTATACTTTACTGTAGTACGTTTAAAGATAAAATTTATTTTTGTGTGATGTTATTTTCTATTAATTAATTTTTTAAGTTGGAGGATAATTGCTTTACAATGTTGTTTCTGTTGAAACAATTATGAATCAGTCATAATTATATGTATATCCTCTCACTCTTGAGCCTCCCTCCCACACCCACCCCTGTATCCCACCCCCTAGGTCACCACAGAGTGCCAAGCTGGGCTCCTTGTGTTATACAGAATTTTACTACTAGCTATCTATTAAACACATGATAATGTATATATGTCAGTGCTACTTTCTTAGTTTATCCCACCATCTCCTTTCCTCACTGTGTCCACGAGTCCATTCTCTATATGTCTTCCTCTCTATTCCTGCCTTGCAAATAGGTTCATCAGTACCCTTTTTCTAGATTCTTTACATATATGTTAATATATGATGTTTCTTTTCTCTTTCTGACTTAACTTTGTTCTAGGTTTATCCACCTCAGTTCAACTGTTTCACATTTGTTCCTTTTTTATAGCTGAGTAATATTCCATTGTCTATGTGTCCCAGAGCTTCTTTATTCATTCATCTGTCTATGGACTGAACCCATGCCTGCTAATTTAAAAATAAAACTTTATTTTTAAAATATTCATGATTGTAGAACTTAGCTACTGGAGGACATCCTTTAGCCCTGGTTCCTTATTATCAAAGAGAGCCTGCTCACGTGTGTTTGGGAGCCTAACTTCCCTAACTTCCATCTTTGTTATGAGTTAGAATCGAGAAAGTGGGTAGCCTTTAAATCTTCCTCATGCCACATTTCTGAATGATGCTGGAGGCTGACACAAAGGTTCGGAAGTTTCCACTGTGGCCTGGAGCCTTGGTGGCCAACACAGAGGTGCAGCCAGGCTTCTGCCTGAAGGTCTGAGGTCAGGACATGGAGAAGGTAGCAGTGGCAAATGCATCTCGTAATTAGAGTGCCCGGAAGGTCTGGCTGGGAAGAGTGGGAGGGACATATAGGATGGAGAAAAATGGATCACACGCCACAAAGGAAGAGGCATCCAAAACAGAACAGTTCACAGTCTGCCAACAGCAGGTCTGACCTGAGCACCAGACAGCCTGAGGATGGAGCCAGAAGCAACCCCTGCTCCCCACTCCCTCCACCCTGAGCCATGACGGCAGGGACAAAAAGCTGCCAATGCACCTTCTCCCAACACAGCACTCCCAGAACTGGAAAAGCACCTGCCCTGGCCTGAAGGTGTCCACGGCTCCCTCTTCTTGGTACCTGGGGTAGAACCCATGCTTCTCAGAGCCCCACAAGACTTCACTTTCAGCCACAGATGGGCCTCCAGTCGAGTTCTCTCTTAACATGGCATCTCAAAGTGTACACCGAGATCATGTGTAGAAAAGAGAGAAGCCCTTAAATCCTGGCTGAGCCCGCCCCAGCATCCTCTCACAAACCCCAGTTTTCCCTCGTTAGTTTGAACGGGGGTCTTTTCATTAGGTGAGGTTGCCAGCCTGTGAATTCTAGAAAGTGTGAATTGATTTCATGGAAGTAGCTGCAATAACTCAGGGACGTGTGCAGCTGGAGATGGGGGTCGCAAGGTGGGGCGTGGCCAGGAAGTGAACTGATGCAGTGATGGGTGGGGGGGCGGCGATAGAGATGGGTGGTCTGTACATGAATCACGGTGGAGCAGGGGGCTTGTGCACCAGACATGTCTGAGGCATCCACCCCTCTGACATCTCTTTGTGCTGGCCCCTGAGGAAAAGATGATTTGTGTTTCCTAACCTTACCATTTCCCATGGTTATTAGCCTGTTTGGATGTTTCCATGGTCAGCTGTGGATATTCATATTAACCAGTTTCGAATATGATGATGATCATAACACACATAAAGATATTTGACATCGCTGTTTTCCTTGTCCACACATATAAACGCTTTTATTTTTCCTGATTTTAATTCATCTGTAAGTAAATAAGTAAGCAAACAAAGATATAGCCCCATCATAGAATTCAGCATAGTAGATAAAGAAAAATGAAACTAATAAGCAAAGTTCTCAAGCTATATTATTATTCAGTTAAAAAATAGCAAGGTGAAAACCATATATTATCTTTCGTGTAAAAGGAAGAGAGGAATAATATGTATTTGAATATATATTCAAATTTTATTATTTATACGTAAATAAATTCTAAAAGAATACACTGAAACTAATAACAGGAGTTTCCTGGGGGTGAAATTAGGTAGATGGGGACAGAGGTAGGGGAGAGACTTTTCACTACACATCTTTTGTTTTTTTATTTTCTGAGCTATGTTAATACATTCTTTGAAAAATTAAGATAAAAGTTGTGCACTGTGGAAAAGCAAGGAAACTGGTAAAATAATTAAGAGGTCACCCAAAATTGTACTGCTGGTTATAGCTACTATTAGAATTCTGCCTTTTACCACATTTACCAATTGCTTTAACAATTCGACATGAGTATCTTTCCATGCCAATAAGTGTGGATTCATAGAATCATTTAAAATGCTTATATGAATAAAAATAAATTAAATGCTTATATAGCATTTAGCTGTATAGGTATGCCATTGTTTATTAACCAAATCTATTGATGGAAATTTAGATTGTCCCCACATTTTAGTATTTACTAATAAAAAAAGGTAGGAGCAAAAATTTGTTAATCTTTCCCCCCTCAGGATAAACCTGTTGCAGAGGAATTTGGGGTTTGAAAATAAGCTTGGTTAATAAAGGGAGAGATTTTCATACAAGTTGGCAACTTTGCTCTACCCTTATTACAGTATAGGTGAGGCATTTATACTCCATTAGCAGAGACTAAAAGGGCTTTTCTCCACAATCTTGTCAACCCTGTTAACAATCTATTTGATCTTTGTCAGATGAAAACAATCTCCTTTTAATTTGAAAACTTTGATATCTATTTTAAAATGCTTACTATAGATTTGTATTTACTTGCTCAATTATTTTGTCCATTATTTTTTCTGTTGGATTTTTTTTTTTTCTTTTTCTTTTTAAAAGAGGATGCAAGTGACTGATGATGCTTACCCTGGGTTGATCATTCTTGTTGTGTCATATTATTTCAGACATGTTTCTGGTGGGGGAATAGAATCTGGCCAGCTGCTATATTGTCATCTAGTCAGATAATTGTCTTTTTAAAAAAATTTTATTTCATTGAGGTGTAGTTGATTTACAATGTTCTGTTAATTTCTGCGGTATAGCAAAGAGGTTTATTTATCCAATGGGCTGCTGCTCTGTGCTTAGTTGCTCAGTTATAGGCTGTAGCCCGCCAGGCTCCTCTGTCCATGGGATTCTAGGATTCTCCAGACAAGGATACTGGGGTGGGTTGCCATGCCCTCCTCCAGGGGAGCTTCCCGACCCAGGGTTTAAACCCATGTCTCCTGCAGCTCCTGCATTGCAGGCAGATTCTTTTACCACTGAGGTACCAGGGAAGCCCCTCGGTTACACGTGTATACATTCTTTTTCATACTCTTTTCCATTATGGTTTATCG